GATTTTATAAACACTCCATTTTCAAGAAATGTGACTTTTCTGGCACTTATTTAACAGTTCAGGGTTTAAAGGGTTAACAATGTAGACTAGAAATGTGTCTTTGATCATTTTACTATTAAACAGATTCTAGCTATGACGACTTAATAAATACTGATACATTTTATGTGAATACTCAGAGCCTAACATGAGTCTTATTTTCATCTGTCCCTTTGGTTTGAGTTTTCTGTTTTTGCCACCTTATTTGATCACTAACACACCAAAGTCAGCTGTCTGCAGAGAGGAATCCTAATGGAAGTAATCTGTATCTTGCTGCTAAGCAGCAGGTCCTGGCTGTTTCCTAGATGCCTGATTTGGCCCTCACAGCTTCATGTCATTATTCTAGAAGATGCTAAAATGTCTGGCTGTTGTTCTCATATATGTTCTCTGAAATTCACTCTTTCATACACTAAAAGGGGGAAAAAAAGATGAAGCTGGTTTTGTTTAACACGGCTTTGAAGGAAACTGCTGGATTGGGTATCCTGGCTTCTTTTCCTCCTTCTTCTGAATGAACATGTTCAGTGTGAAATTGCTAATTACAAAGCTAGATATAAAATAACGCACATGGGTGTGAAATGTATTTATCTAAAATGTTATTTCTTTCCGCTCTCCTCTTCTTTAATAATGTTGCTCTAATCCTCCCTGCTTTCTTGTTGCTCTCTTTATTCTCCAACTCCCACCGCTTCTCTGTCATCTCCACAATCCTCTTCATTCATCTCGTGGCTCAGAGTAAAACGTCCCCGCTTATTGCCTTATAATAGACACACATTCATAAAAAGGGCCAGTCTGAATACACACTCGCATTTTACTAATACCCACAAATTGAGATTTGATTACTTACACACACACACACACACACGCACACACACACACACACACACAGCCAAATCCTCCAGCCTCCTTGTGAGGACAAAAATGGGCTGTGTAGTCATGATGCCGATTGTTAATCACATCTCACGTCTGTATTAATGTTTCATTCCTCGACTCATCTCTAGTTTTGCATCATGTGACCAATGCAACTCCCTGTCACTCACCTTTACGTACTGATTTTGCAGTTCGCTGAAGCAACAAAGTCGCACGTCCTTGGTTTCCGAATGCTTCACACTACCTCCGCTTTGTCATCGCGCACGCTTGATGAGCAGCTTAATTTCAAGGAATTATTATCCTGTTGTCTCTAAACTGCAATGACAGCCTCATCACATTTAACCGTGAGTCCTTGAAGGAGCAGTCGGGACAGAGGCAGGGAGCCAGAGTGCATTCTGCCGCAGCCGAGAGAGATGATTTAAAAATGTTGGTTGAAATAATGCGCTTCATGATTCACACAGATGCCATCAATGCATGAATAATGTATTCCTGCATTACTAACCCTAACCCCATTAACTTTCTACCTTCGGCACAGCGCCCCCTCTTCTTTCTTCACTCCTAAACTCATCTTCTCTTTTGCTCCTGCTGCTTCTGAGAGCAGGGATTTGTTTTGCAAAGTGAGGCAGCATAAAACATTTCACACACTACACAAAAAAAATTATTCTTGGCTCTCATATAACATGAGACAACAATTTTGATTAAAAGGCAGCCAAAAATATAAAAATCATTAATCATTAAGAAAAACATATTTTGTATAAACCGATTGTATACCAGTCAAGTAAATTTCATTTGGCCAGAGTCAGTTAAAGTTTTACAGTGTACTTATGTAACAAAATTACACTGAAAATTTACGTCTAATCAGATTACTTAAAGTCAGTGTTATAAGATTTTATCAACATTTAGGGTATAAATGTTGAAAGGTACAGATGAGTTTTAACGTTGTAGTTAGTCACAGTTTATTGGTGTAGTTGGGTACTTTTTTTCCCCACTGCTGATGGCTGTTTCCCGCTTTATTAATACTAGACAAAGACATTTACAGGTTATTTTTGAGTCTAAAAGCAACTTAAATCATCTCATCGAAACACCAGGGGATCTAAATGTAACGTTAAATCCATAAATTAACATTATTATATTTTAAATTTTTGTCATATTAAGGGTTTATCTGTTCAAAACTCCCGGCCTGGTGCGTGTTTTCACTAACAAGGTGTATTCATGTAAACCTAATATTTTCACTTACACCCACTCAGTAAACACTGTCTTGTTCAGATTGGTTGGTTTATAAATAAGTAAGTCTGTAAGTCACGACAGAGTAACTGAACAGAAAATCATGAGAATCCCTCACAGTATACACATGTGTAATTGCACATTAATAATATTACCATATCATGCTTATTCTGTGATAAAGACCGTCATGCTTGATCAGCACAGGTGGGTGTTATTGTTGTGCTACTTTGTACTTCATAAAAATGTAGAGCTGTTAAGTCCTGTTAATCTCTGTCATGGGTGACTTTCCAGAGCAACACCAGACAATTCACACGCACTGTTTGTGTTACACTTTACTGTTTAACTTTACTGTAAAAGGCACATGCTATTCCAATAATGGGCTCAACTTGAAGCAATATAACAACATACAAAGTAAGTAAGACTTGAAAACAGATGCTTTAATGCTTTAACACAGAATCTATTTAGACGTTTGCAGAACAATCCCATGGAAAAGTAAACTCACTTTTTTTCTTGCTTTAAATCAATTAGGTTGAAGATTAACTAATGTAATAATTTAACTAATTGAATGTAATTTCCAAGTGGACATACTTTATAAACCTTTTAATTTTCTAATTTAAAATTTTACTTGATTTAGGCACGGTCTGTAAAGCCTGTTACTCGAGGCACACTGTGAGACTGATAGGAGGTAAATCTCTGCAAGCATATCAATTTTGTCAACTAAGAGGTTCTCTTGGGAGGATTATGTCAGCTGGACAATAGGGGCAGGATGGACAGTGCTAGAAGCAGTGAGGAGTTGGGAATGTTGAGTGTGGGGTTTTGTAAAGCCTTAAAAATAAAGGCTTTTTGGGGTTATAGTGCTGTTAAATGCTTCTAAAATGCCTGCCACCCACTCCTCCACATCTATGCCCCAGGTAAAGTGTTAAAAAGCGCTATTATCTCATATTTTGTGGCGTACCCAGGCTTAAATGCTCTGCAGACAAGCTGTCCCTGTGGAAATAGACGCTATCCTGCCTTTTAATTGCCCCCTAAATGCTTGTCCAGAGTCTCATACTACCCATAACATCTCTGATTTGAAGCTTCTGATTAATCCCCCTGTAGCTTTGATTTCATGCTTATATTAGTGTTTAGATGGTTGCCATGGGAAACCCAGTGGGGCCGTGTGCCTCTAATGAAAGAAATCACTTGGCTGGGCATGCACTTCACAGCACTGCTGCACTGGCTGGCTCCCTGCATGCTTTTAACTCTTTCAGCTTGGCTGGTCCCTCATGGAAATATATCAAACCTGACTGAAACGCGATCATTTTCTGCATCTCTCATCTTTCTTTCTTTCATTTTCTCCTGCTCCGTTTCCTTTTAGAGTAGTGCTGCAGATATTGCCACTGTGAATGTAAATGGTGAATTATATTAAGCATGGAAAGAGTAAGAGCAAGGCTCATGAATCTGTGGAACACAATCAGTGTCAATGTCGGTCCCACTTCTGTCACAGTCTGCATGCATATTGTCAGGATGATGAAGGATATATCTGCCATAGGTGGTTACTCAGGGCTCTGTTGCAGTGTGTGCTATAGTCTTTGAGTGGAGTAGGCTCTCATACAGATGAGCCTCACAGTTGCAGCCCATTAAGGGATCATCAGTCTGGAAAGCCACCGCTGTTCAGACTCGCTGGGAGCGAATTGAACAAAGTCATCTGACCAGACTCTTTGCTCCAAGCCTGATGCTCATCACAAAAACAGCAATAAAACTGTGAGCACCCAGCAACGATGGCTGCTATTTTTCGCTCACAGAATGTGCAGCACTGTACTGAGGTTACAGCTCTAATGCACTACAGCCAGAGAGCTCACACTTAATTAAAGAGATGATAACTAAAGTGTGTAATTAGCTATTTTCGCACAGTGGGTTCTGAGATCATAAGTAATGTTTGGAGCCGCAATACTGTCATGGCTAAATCCTTTGTAGAGCTATGTCATGTTTACAGCTGAAGATAAACAAATCCTGAGCTCATTGTCATTCTGCAGTGAACAGTCTATGGAGTTTATGAGTTGTTCAATTGTAACATATAATATGATCGCTTCCATTCCTGCCATGCCATTAAAACCACTGAGAGGTTAAGTGAACCTAATTGATTATTGCGTTGCAATGTAATGTTCTGAAACCTTGGTGCCTTGCATGCTTGTGGATATTATTTACCATTGCTGTCAGCACCTTCTAATGGTGGCTGCATCCCCTATCAGGACAACATGGCACATCATACCACAAAACCACACCGGAAGAACAAGAGGAACACAAAAAATAAAGGAAAAATAAAATAAAACCAGGTAGTAACTTTGACTCACTAACTACAGGGATCAATGGAGTCATGCACAAATGGCATGCTTAAACTTGGTCTATGCACACACAACCCCCAGTACTATTGGTGCACCTAGAAATGGTATTTGGAGTGTATTTTTTAAAAAATTATAGTGATATTATACAAAACAATTTTTGAAGATTTAACAAAACATAATGTGAAGATGGGTCTGTAGATGGCCTGGTCAATCTATGTTCCAGTCCTCTCCTTTATATGTATATATCTGAACTACCCCTAAAAGAATAACACTGTATAAAAGCAGCAGAAATTAGCTTCTTCTGAAGGGCTTAGCCTTCTAGGTAGCATGCAAGTTATTCTGAAGGGGCTAGAGCTGCTACTCTATATTGAATGAAGCCAGCTGAGGTGGTTTTATGTCTAGGATCCCTCCTGTGACAAAGGCAACCGAGGAGGTTGCTTTTGGCTCCCATGTGGTTATCTCTGCTTAGACTTCCGCCGCTGTGATCTGGACCACAATGAAAAGTAGAGGATGGATGGAACCATGGCTACTATGTTTTTTGTGTGTTTCCAGATTCTTGTTGGAGAGCTGTGCGCCTTCTTCACCAAGGCAGAGGGAACCCAGGAGAAGACCATTGTGACTGCAGACTGCTGCTACTTCAACCCCTTACTGAGACGCATAATACGCTTCTTGGGTGAGCATGCTGTAGTGTCTTCCACAGTCCCCTTTTCAGGCTTTTGAAGTGACACATCTAAATCTTTATAACCATTTTCATATATAAACTCTGGACAGTGTCAGGTCACGATGACCCATTCCTCCAAAAGGATGGAAGCTCGGTGCAGTGTGCAGGTAGCTGGAGTTGTAACAAACACTTGTAATGAATTCTCTTTACCTGTTGTATTCTGACACTGACTTATTTAAACATCACATAGACTTTGAGGTACTGGGCAATGCTTAGTCATTTTCAACAAAATAATGTATTACTTTTCTTAAAAGTGCATCCGGAAAATATTCACAGCACTTCACTTGGTCCACATTTTGCGGCGTGTGACCATTGGAAACAAAGGCACCAAGCACTGGGCATGGTGGTGGCAGGATCATGCTGTGGGGATGTTTTTAAGCAGCAGGAACTGAGAACTAGTCAGGGTTGAGGGAAAGATGAACATGGAGTGCAGCAATGTACAGAGACGTCCATGATGATATACAGCTCCAGAGCACTCTTGGCTTCAGGACTGGGGTGAAGATTCATTTTCCAACAGGACAACTACCCTAAGCACACAGCCACTGGGTGTATTTTTTCTATTTTTTGCGGTAGTTCTGCAAAGAAGAAACTGCCCTAAAAATAGGTATGCCATGCTTGTAGCATCACATTCCAAAAGACTTGAGACTGTAATTGCTGTATAATATAATGGAACAAGGCGTTACATGACACAATGTGGAACAAGTGAAGCACTGTGAGAACATTCTGGATGAACTTTAATCTACTTTGTTACTTAATTACTCAGCATTGAAAAACAGCCTAAAGAGAGTTTAAAGTGATTTCCACAGTTCTACTTGTTCATGTTCTACTATAGAAACATAAACAGGTAGAAATTAATGCTACAATGCTGCAAGACTGACTGCTCATCACTGCTTTCGTTACCTGGGCAAGACTAAACTCTGGCTGCTGGGCTGGGGTCAGCATGCAGTAAGATTTAACGTCACTTTGGGTTCTTGGCTAGCTATTTGTTTGATGGTAAATGGTAATGGGCTCGTTCATATATAGAGTATCCACTCAGCGTGCAGATAACTTGTAACACAAGTAATGACTTTAATGTAACCGTAATATAATTACTGAATTTAGTGCAGTAACACATTACTTTGGGATGTGTTGGACCCAGCACTGCTCGATGGCAGGCTTTAATCTGTTTATTTGTTTTTTTTAACATTGGGGCTCTCACTTACAGGCATCCTCAGTCTATAAATAAGTGCTTCATAAGTGTGTAATTGAATGATGAAAAATAAAAGAGAATAAAAAGTACCATTTAACATTATGAAAGAAATTGCTGAACTGGAAAAACCTGACCTGCTGTTTGTCAGCCACAGCTGGCATATGAAGCTGTTAATTGGATGATCAAATGTGGCATAATGTTTGAGGTAGATTGCTCAGGATCCTGGCAGGAAGGCTCCCATCAATATTAAGAAGCCTACCAATCTGCATCTTGAGCTGAATCAGCTGAGGAGGAGGATTCTGTTGCAATTTCACACATAATAATGTGTTGGGGCTCTTTGAAGTAGAAGCATTTACTACTTTTATCACCTGGTGACGTGTGTCTCTTTCAAAATCTATATTTTCTTTTAATAAAAATAAAATATATGCTTGCTTATTAACTTTGCCACAATTTCCCCTTCTCTACACTCTTGTCCTGTCCAGGTGTTTATGCCTTTGGTCTATTCACCACGACCATTTTCGCCAATGCCGGCCAGGTAGTGACAGGAAACCAGACGCCTCACTTCCTGTCTGCCTGCCGACCAAACTACACAGCATTAGGCTGCCAGTCCACGATGCAGTACATCACAGAGCGACGGGCCTGCACAGGCAACCCACTGATTGTCATGTCTGCACGTAAATCCTTCCCATCTAAGGATGCAGCACTCAGCGTCTACTCAGCAGTGTACACAGTGGTAGGTTGGACAAAACTGGAGGTGATATTGCTACTGTAAAGATTTAAGACTTAACGGGAGTTTCAGATGTGTTCTAGCAATTGAAGCCCACCTGCTGTCTTTACTGTGTTATTTGAGGCCCATGCCAAACTTTCTGTTTTTAGTGAACACCATTGCCACTAGATCTCAGATTAGGATGAAATCAAAGAAGACCATCACATATTAAAGAATGCAGTCATTTGAAAAGGAAAGTTACATAGGGTCCTGTGGAAAACGGCAATAAAATGGCTTGTTGAATTGCTTTTAGCATCCATAACTTGAAATAAGTGTTTTCTTTTCTTCTTTAGGACTTTGCTTAAGTTCTTTGAGGTTTGTGGGCACTTATTTATGCACCACTCTGTTATAGTCCTGCTACAAGTTTTCACTTGGGTTGAGGTCTGGACTTTGACTCGGTCAAAGTCGAGTGCTTATCTATCTATCTATCTATCTATCTATCTATCTATCTATCTATCTATCTATCTATCTATCTATCTATCTATCTATCTATCTATCTATCTATCTATCTA